TCACTTAGTTCCGTTCTTTTTTCATTTCTCATCATATCATTGTCAATAATATAATTATTGTAATTTAATAATTATTATTATTACTGGATAAATTTGTAACCATTCCTATTATTATTATTATTGTTATTATTATTATTATTATTATTTCTATTATTACTAATCATAGTGTAGTGAACGTGGACTTGGGGGGGGGTAAAACCAATTTTTTAAAATTTATATTGTGTCTTCATTAAATATGAAAATTATACATTAAATACGTTATTTATACATCTCCCTTCAGTTGTTCATTACATTCATTATGATTCGATCAATTCTATTGTTATTCTAATTACTCTTTATTTCTATTTCTGTTCTGTTTAATTTAATCTTCTACTGATAGACATTCCAATTTCATTTGGTGTTACATACTATTTATATTGTATTAGTGTAAGTAGTATACATTAAAAATAGAAATGATCACCAGAAAAGCTAGTAAATAATAATAATAATACTATAATTAGTCATAATGACAATTTGTTTCACCCTAGTGTGTCCTTTGATATCCGGTAATTTTTTCAGTCTATAATTAAATCAAATTAATTTACTACCTCATTGTTAAATCTATAGGTTATTGACCAGTGCCAACTAACACTTCTGAATTCTCAGTATTGGGGTTGTTGAGATTAATAAGTTTTCGACTGAGATCATGAATCGACTGATGTTAGACCACTGTTGGAAACCTGGAAGCACTGGACGACTGTTTCGTCCTAGTATGGGACTGCTCGGCAGTGCGCATCCACGATCCCGCTCGCGGGATTCGAACCCAGGACCTTCAGTCACGCGCGCGAACACTTAACCTAGTGGACCACTGGACCGGCATCCAATGGTGTTAGTGTCTAACATCAACCAATCCACGAAATTGCGCGACTATCTACCAACGGTGGTCTAAGATCAGTCGATTCATGATTTCAGTCAAAAATATCTGAATTCACTTGATGTTGTTTTATTTGTATCTTCCCATTGTTATTTAGAATTGCATGGATGCAGAGTGAACATCAACTCTTTGAGATGTAGATACATCCATCTGAAGAGTCCCAAATAGGACGAAATGTGCATCCTAGATTTTACTGCTAGCCACAATCCATCTTTGCATAACAGATCTGAGTTTATTATCAATTAATTTCATCTACTTAACTTCAATATTATACTACTTATGTTATAACTTGAATTTTATTACAATTTGTATATTACATAATTTTCTCATAGTCTATTGGGCCTCATAAATACTGTATAGGGATTATGAATAATTTCTATTATAACTGCGGAGAACTAGTATTTTTCTTTCTATACTAGAAAATGATGAATAACGTGATATATATAACAATATAAAGTCAGTAGATAAAAATAATTTAATATACACTAGGGATAAATTTAAATGTTCTTTGAATAAAGTCATTTTTATATGATTTATTTACATGAATTGACAATCAGGTTTGTATAAATGAAAATATACTTAAGATCAGTTAATCAATTACTTATTGTGTATAAACATTTCTTATTGATTCAAAAGATTAAGCGTTCATGCGCAAGACTGATAGGTCTTGGGTTCGAATTTTTCTGGGTAGGATCGTGGATTTGCACTGATGAAGAGTCCCATACTAGGATGAAACAGTCATCCAGTGTTTGCAGGTTTTTCATGCTGGTCTAGCTTCTATTGATCCATAAATTCAACTATAAAATTACTAAAATCTCAACAAAACCCCTTCTCAAAATTATCATTATATGCTCACTAGTGACTGTCTCCAAGAATTATTTCCTGGAGTTCTAGTGAGAAGCAATGACCAGTAGAGTTCAAACGGGTCTGTTGTGAGATAGTAACTTATTGAATAAAATAGTGAATGTATCGCTCCATTTTGTGGATTGGTTAAAGTTAGACATTAACACCGGCCGGCAGGCTCAGTTGTCTAGAGATTAAGCATTGGTCTTGGGTTCGAATCTTGTTGGTCAGGATCGTGAATGCTTACTGATGAGGAGTTCCACAATAGAATGAAACAGACGTCAAGTATTTTCAGGTATTCTATACTAGTCTAGCTCCAATTGATTCAAAAATTCAATTACATAATTATTGTTTCTTAAAATGTGATTACATTGTAATAGATTACTCGCACTATAATCACTTAAATTGTCTTTCATCATATGACTTACCTTATTATTGTATTGAAATCGAATATAAAAGAATTTAAACTTGTAATAATATGATTGATATATCAATATTCAATTTACTGAATTATAAGTAGAAATTGAAATCACAATTCAAAACTGATATCACTAGGCATAGTTACAAAAGTTATATGTCTTATTCAAAAACTAAATAAAAAAACATAATAAATTATTCATCATTACAAGTTACGTACAATTTTTTAAAATATCAGTCACTTTGGAAACAACTACATAAATATATGTCTATACATTAGTGCTACAATACAACTAAGTTGAGGTTTTCATTAAAATCGATGATAAATTAATAACTTTTTCTTTAAGTTAAACGTTATGATAAATTTGACCTTTAACAGTTAATCAATCAATTGTATCAATATCAGTTTAGGGGTTGCGGAGATTGTTAAGTTTTTGACTGAGATCATGAACTGACTGATGCTAGACCATTGTTGAGAACCTGGAAGCACTGGACGATTGTTTCGTCCTATTGTGGACTCCTCAGCAGTGAGCATCCACAATCCTGTTCCGCGAGATTCGAACCCAGGACCTTCAGTCTCGCGCGCGAACGCTTAACCTACTGGATTTCAATCAAAAACTTAACAATCTCCACAACCCCTAAACTGATAATTACCATGTGCTCACTAGTGACTAACTTTGTGAGGGAATTCTCGGAGTTCTAGTGAGTAGCCGTGACCAGTGGAGCTAATTCATGTCGGGTAGAGACAGTACAATGGAAGATGGTCGTGCAATTTCGTGGATTGGTTGAGGTTAGACATTTAACACTGTTGGATGCCGGCCGGCTCAGTGATCTAGTAGGTTAAGCGTTCGAGACTGAAGGTCCTGGGTTCGAATCCTACGGAACAGGATCGTGGATGTGCACTGCCAAGGAAGAGTCCCATAATAGGACGAAACGGCCATCCAGTGCTTCCAGGTTTTCACTAGTGGTCTAACATCAATCGGTTCATGATCTCAATCAAAAAATTGTATAAATAGTTTGTCTAAATATTTGTTGAAAAACATACACGTCTGATTAAGAAACAAGAAATAGTAATCAGTAGAATCTTGGATCTATGTTTCATCTCATTTCGGACATGTTATATAGGTTTATTTGAATCTCAGTGGTGATGCTGATATTCAACTTTTAAAGACATAGGGTTATCGTCAAATAGTACAATTTCAACTTCAATAAATTTGTGTTACAGAATAATGATGAGTCATTGATATTATTGAGAACTTATGTTTGTTCAAACTCAGAACTGAACCGTAAAATTATACCACTGAATGTCTTCAGAGTGATTCTAGTGGTTTCGCTTTTGTGAGAGCTTAAACTCTAGACCTTTGAACCGGTATCTGACAGTGGTAATGTCTAACTTCAACCAATCAGCGATATTGCGTAACCAATCTCCATTTTTTTCGGTGAACAAGTAATCACACCAGACACGGTTGAACTCCACTGGTCACGGATTCTCACTAGATATCCATCTTGAAGCTAATCACTGGTGAGCACATGATGATTGCCAGTATAGGGTTTTGGAGATTGTTAATTTTTGATTAAGATCATGAATGAATCAATGTTAGACCACTATTGAAGACCTGAGAGCACTGGAAGGTTTACATTACTGATTGATCTTACTTAGATAACTACAAAAAATTAATCAGCACTGGAGATCAATTTAATAGGTTAGTTCATAGTGTAACGTTTACTGTAGAGTATGGTTTTTCATTGGAATGGATAAATGAATACCGAGCCAAAATCCAAGGCTTACTATCTTTTGTTTCATTATTTCATTCACAACTTATAGTATCGCTAGAAGATTTTCTATTGTTATTGATTAGTTAAATTACTATCTACTGTGTATATCCGATACATATGATAATAAATAGTTCTCATTTGTAAGTTTACATTAACCATTTTACAGACATTATTTAAACATGGAATAATTTACAAATTGTTTACAATAATAAAAATAATCTATAATAAATTACTTACAAATAAGATTTACTTACGACTGTTACCCCCAATTGAGCATAGGCCGCCAAACAGCATTCTCTAAGCCATTCTGTCCTGGGCCTTCATTTCCAGTTCTATGCAATTTTAGTTCATATTTCTCATGTCTGTTTCCATTTCTCGGTGTAATGTGTTCTTTCATCTTCCTCTTCTCCTTTTTCCTTGAGGATTCCATGAGAGGGCTTGCCTTGTGATTCAGTTTGGTGCTTTCCTCAATGAGTATCCTATCCACTTACAGAGCATCTTCTTCCTGATTTCTTCCTCCACTGGGATCTGATTTGTTCTCTCCCTTAGTAGGTTGTCGCTAATAGTATCTGGCCAACGAATGCGAACTATGTTGAGTAGACAACTGTTAATAAACACTTGTATCTTCTGAATGATGGCTATAGTAGTTCTTCAAGTTTCCGCCACATACAGTAGAACTTTCTTAACATTTGTATTGAGAATTCTGAATTCGGTGTTAGTTGACAGACAGTTGTTTTGAATTCCAAATGTTCTTCAATTGTGCATATGTTGTTCCTTCTTTGCCGATCTACGCCTTCACATCTGCATCAGATCCACCGTGTTCATCAATGATGCTGCTCAGATATATTAATGTTTCTACATCTTCCAAATCGATTGTTGCATGCTGTGTTGTATAGGAGAATCTTGCTTTTCCCTTTGTGTATGTTGAGATCTACACAAATTCAATTTGTAAACGTTTTTTGTCACATTTTTAAGCATCATATCACTTCATTTATACTTTATCTAGATCTATTTATTTAATCATTTCGATTTTACATTTTCTATACTACAGATGGCAAGTAAATAGTGAAGTACGAACAGATTTTCAAACAACTCAACAACTAACCGACTATGAAGATGATGATTCTACAAAAAATAGACCAATTTCTGATGTATTACCTTTGAAAGTTTTCAATAATTATTTTTCTCTTGGCGCAGATGCTGCAACAGCATTACAATTTCATGAATCAAGAGGTATGTTTACTGTAGAAATCAATAAATTCATGATATTAGATAAAATACATGATCTTTATATCGAATTTTTTTTGGATAATGGTTATGAATAGAATCTTGGATAAATGCTTTATCTTATTTTGCTATCTTGAAATATCTATATCTCGATGTTGCTATCCACAATGAGACTTGATTTTAATACCTATAGCTTTAAACTTCAAAGCTTTATTATCCTGTTTAACAGGTATGGTGTACTTACTTACTTACTTACGCCTGTTACTCCTAATGGAGAATAGGCCGCTGACTAACATTCTCCAACCGACTCTGTCCTGGGCCTTCTTTTCTAATTCCATTCAATTCTTGTTCTTTTTCCTCATGTATATCTCCGTTTCCTGGCGTAATGTGTTCTTTGGTCTTCCTCTTCTCGTTTGGTATTGAGGATTCCACGTGAGGACTTGCCTTGTGATACAGTTCGGTGCTTTCCTCAATGTGTGTCCTATCCACTTCCACCTCTTCTTCCTGATTTCTTCCTCCACTGGCATCTGATTTGTTCTCTCTCATAGTAGGTTGTTGTTGATAGTGTCCGGCCAGTGTATCAGAAGTATTTTGCATAGACAGCCGTTAATAAACAGTTGTATCTTCGAGATGATTACTTTCATAGTTCTTCAAGTTTCCACCCCACACAATAGAACTGTCTTGACATTTGTATTAAAAATTTCAACTTTGGTGTTGTTTGCCAATTGTTTTGAGTTCCAGATGTTCTTCAGTTGTAAATATGCTGCTCTTGCTTTACCGATCCACGCTTTCACATCTGTTAGTTTGAGGTTTTTACTTTTTTCAACAAAATTCAGAGTGAGTCAGTCCCCCCAATGTTGTTAGTAAGTCTTGCGCACGAGTGCCAGCTGCGTGAATGCTAGATCTGGGTTTTCCTGTCAACTACATCCAATCACCTAAAATTTCAACACAGTACGCGAGATAATGAACGGCCGTCCAGTGATTCCAGGTTTTCCATAGTGGTCTAGCTTCAAATGACTCATGATGTCAACCATTAAAATTACTAGAATATGCACAAAACCCCTTCTGATAATATTCGAAACTATCAAGTCCAACCTTCGCATTGATACGTACATAGTTTACGAGATGTAAAGTCATTCAGACAATTGGTCACATCATGGTTTGATCAGTAGAATTAAATAATATTTAAGGACGAGGAAAATATGACTTTGATGGCTACTTGTCGCTCAATCAATATTAAAGTTTCAATAATAAATTATTGAGAACTAAATAGAAAATCAGTAGTCTGATGATACATCCTGAGATGGCGCTCCTAATTATTTAAATTCAACTCTCTTGTTACACTTTTCCACTGGCTACAATTTGATTACAATTACCGTTTCGGTTAGAGACAGGTATCTACCTTAGTACAATGGAAGATAGTTGCTCAATTTCGTGAACTGGTTGAGGTTAAACATGAACACCGTTGAATGCCGGCCGGCTCAGTGGTCTAGTAAGTTGAGCGTCCGAATCCCGTTCACGGGATGGTGGGTGCACACTGCCAAGGAAGAGTCCAACAATAGGACGAAACGGTCATCCAGTGTTTTCATATTTTCCATGATGGTCTAATATCAATCGGTTCATGATCTTAATCAATAACTTTATAACCTCTCTAACTCCTATACTGAAAACTGAAACTTATGAATTTATTTCAGTTGCTATCCAACATTTAACATAAATGTAAAAACAAAAAAAAAAAGTGAGACACATTAATAATAATGACGTTTTGTTATCATTTCTGTATCATGTTGGGTATTTTCTAAAATGATATAAACCACCATAAGTAAGTAATAAATGGTAAACAAATTATAGTATTGATAAAAATTAATGACTGATATACACAAAATAATACAATACAGAATTAGTTTCTAAATTGATTTTTATTTCAGTTTTTATTTACTTTTTTTTTTGATATTTTGATACAATTTATTAAGGAAGTATAATTTAAGACAAAAATTATAATTTTTTTTAAAAAAAATAACAAATCAAAGGATAGGAAGATCCTTTTGAAGAGGATCGTTTTTCAGCATATGCCGGTTTTGATATTGTCCGGGTGCCCAGACTGAAACAAGGTGGTTTTCTTAGGGGACCACACCATGAATCTTCGACATAAAGGTTTAATCCACTAAGCAGTTGAGCAACATGAGGAGATGCAGTTCCATGGTAGCCAGTGACCAACGATTGGTTCATATGTCATTTGTTCTTTTAGGCTACTGGAGCTCATGTGCACCATTGATTTGAAATCACGGTTTCCCAACTCTCCTAGGTAGTATCCTCGATATTCACCAACCCGGATAAAACGTTGGAAATTCACTTGTTGTCCTCTCAATTTCATAAACAACAGTAATGCCACGAGAAGGCAGTGAGTAGGACTTCCCAGGAAGTGGCTATATACGCTTGACCATGTGAGAGCATTTTGAGAGGGAGAGTTGACTTTACCCACTCTCGGTCGTACCAGGGCATTCGGGGGAATCAATATATTTGGAGACTGTACAAAACTAATTTCTGAATTAACTGATAATCGTTTCGAGAAAAAGATAAATAAAGGAAAGATGCAATTAATGTTGTATGTTGTATGCAATGAAAATGAAAACATAAATTTTATTTGATTAGTAAACAAAACAATTATTGTCTAACAATAGTGAAATTTCTTTCTTTTTTGAAAAGAATCAACTACCCTTGAAAATATTTAATACTGTCAAGTTGAAATGATGAATCTCTTTTAGAAAATAAAATGGTTTATAGACGACCATTAGAGCGACACTAAAGTGACCTTGAGGGTATATACCTAGTAACTAGGACTAAATGAGGGTTATAAACCAATGTGAGGAATTAGAATTAATATTTACAGTCGGTGGTTAGAGTTAGGAATTAGATTTAGGGTTTTCATCACGAACTGATATCATCTATAATGCCAAAACCCTATTTAATCAAATGGATGAGTGAATTTCATGCCAAAACCCGAGATCTATTATCTTGTATCTCATTGGTTCGTCCATAAATTATAGTTTTGGCGTTGTGATGTGAAACGTTTGACATATTTATCTACATGTCATTACGAATATTTGGCTTTGTATTTTGAGCATAAATTTAAATAGTAATGTGTTAGTGTTATAACTTGTGGCATGTGTCGTTAATAATGTATAATGTAATGATGCTGCCAATTAGAGAACAGTGAATTACCGGCCGGACCAATGACGCATAGAACCTCCACGAGCAGTCTAGAGTCCTTATCGGCCCTTCTTCCCGCTTAGCCCTGCCTGTCAAGTCCAGAACACCAATCTCAGCCTCTAAAATATGAATCATATATTTCAAACATACTGGGCTTATATACAAACCAAACAGACCACATCGTATCATAAAATAGAAAACAAGATTTGGCCAAATGTGGCTGTGAATGTGAGAGGTAGTAATTAATAGACAACGCATAATCCAAGAATGGTAAAACGTATAACAATGGTTCATAGGTCAAAATAAAGCTTATAATAAGAGGAATATGAATATGAATAGTTTAGTTATTAAACAATTATATGATAAAAATATACTCAGAGTATTGATCCATAAATAGATCCCAAAAGTTACCATTCATTATTCTCATTAAGATATAACATTAAAAAATATATTGCTCTGATGAATTTGAACTTTCATTATCTTATTTAAATTTATCAAATTGACTAACTGTTTGTAACAGATCTATGTGTGTATAGATTATCAGAGATCTTTTAATTGATCAAATAACCTGTAAAGTGTTATTTGTCATTTGAGTCGATTTGATCAATATTTGAACAGATAAACTTTACTATCTTTATATTATTATTTAGTAAACAGTCATATTGAAATCAAGGGTATTATTGATAAAGACAATTCAGCTATTAATGAAATGGTACTATTGTACTAAGGTGTACTCGTTTGAAGTTGAAAGACCTTGATTAGTCAGTCAGCTACAACGTAGGACCAGACACATATAAACATCGGTACAAGTTACTATACCTCATTAGTACAACAAGATCAACACCAGATTCATAGAATTAGTTAATTCAGTGGTAGTGGAAGACAGAGAGTGTATTCACTGACACTATTGATATCGATTTTGAGCCATATCACACACAGTTTACAACCATTGGTTACGATAGTTTAGTAGCCTGATGTGTTCGCTTGTGGTGACGGGATCACCATTTTAGTGGCCTGTGATCTGACTCCAATTTGATCGTAATGATTGGTTGCTATCGTCTATCCTCGTATATAATCATTGACTTAAATCGCGTTAGTTAATAACGGAATTAAATAAGTCAAATAACGAGAATGGAGTTTTGAATGCATATATTTTGTATAATTGTTGATTAGACAAACGAACGGGAGAACGACGCGAAAAGAAGAAAGCGAAGCAAAATTGACGAGCGGTGGAGATGGCTGATAAGCCAACTCTCCCTTTAACAAAGAGTTAATGAATATTTATAATCCCACAAAAATAAATTACAGACATGTAATGAGTAACGGGATAAGAAGTGTGCATACGCCTACGCGCTCATACAAAGACAGTCAAGACATTGATAAGCGAATATTTAACAAGGTCAGAATGTGACTCAAATAGAATGAATAGAATGGGCTGTCCGAAAGTTAGAATAATGAGGTATTTGGGCTTAACATAATGACAGACACTACAATAGTCACACGGATTCCGACCAAGTAGTCTGCATCTGACAACATTGCTCAAACTAAAATTTAATGACTTCAAGAACTGATTCCACGTTTTGGTTTATCCTCCCGTAACTTTCTTCCAACCATTCCCCACACTAGTCAGCATCACAATTGATTGATCACTGGGTGGTGACCAATGTCATGCGTGTCTAGTCCTGTCGACTACCTCCAATCACCAACTAGTCAGCATTGCGCATCGTGGTAATCGGTGTTTAGGCATACGTGGCTCAACCGTCTCAGGTGATGGATACTCATAGCCTCATCAACTG